AAAAAAAAAAAAAAAAGAAGAGGAGAATCGAGCGTACAACAAACTCTAATTAAACGAAAAAAATCCCATCTTTCAATCCGAATATACGTAAAAAGTTCCAGCATTGCAGACCATTTAATTCCAGGCCAACGATACCAGAACAATTTACAATTCCAAATAAAAACACCGAACGATTTCCTAACCAAACTCTAGCCATTCGTATATCCCGCGTATATAATTCATCGAAATATATAGAAACGACTGAGTCGAGTGCAACGCGAGCTTGTTTCGCGTCGATATCTCGATTCGTCGCCGAGATAAGAGAGGGGAGATTTTAAAGTTCGCCCGTTTAAAATGCACGGACGCGCCAACGATGAATGGCGATCGAAATTCTTAGAAACGCGCTGACCTAATCCTTCTCTCCCCTCTCCTCCAAATGTCCACTCGGTACCCGTGGTGGGGGGAAAAAGCGATGACTCAGCATCTGTCGTTGACCAGCGCACAAGTGCTGCGCTTGGGACAAGTTTGAGTCACGCGACAAAGAAATTATGCGATATTTCGGTAAGAGGAAACAAAAAGTAGATTAAAGAAGAAAAGTAGATTGTGAAGGTGTGAATTATGGGGAATAGACGATGAAAGATTTGACGTTAGGCTAAGGCTTTGTGTATTTTAGTGGAAGGTGGTTTTTTCTTTTAAGGTAATAGTTCCCTATCTTTCTCATACTAATACAATTGTTACTAAAAACTAACTAGTTTATATTCGTGTTATCCTGTATTAAAAGTACAATAATCTGATAATACTTTGTAAAATTTTCTCTTATATAATAATATAACGTTATAGATTATTACAATTATTATCATTTGATTCTTTTCTTATATCTTTTATAAAATACAAAAAAATAATATCGTTTAAACACACATTGGAGAACGTGCATCGATTATACGGATACGTTCGAACAAAAGAGGATCGAAATTTGAAATTGGAACAAAAATACGATGTACGAAACATACATAGATGACTCACCATGACCAGCATATTAGCAGCTGGAGGCTTGACCTGGGTGCGAAGATAGTTATGGGTATCGACGATCTTCTGTCGGACCTTGCTGTTGCTCGTTCTCAGCAGCTTGACAGGCACCCTCTCCCCATAGAGCCTCGGCGCTGAAAGCAAAGGCAAACGTTCCTCTCAACAACGTCTCGATAACCGATACTCCTTGTCAATAAAACTCTCTCCCTCTCTCTCTCTCTTTACCCTCTTCATCTCCCTTTCTCTTTACACGCGTTGCTCCATTTCCTTCCCTTTCGACCATGGAACAAGTGTCCGCTTTAAAGGGTGAATATCGACAACGCCAACTCGAAACGAGCAATAACGTTCTATTTTCATACCCTTTACCCTGTTTGCCGTCCATGTCGAAACGAAGGGGGGAAGAGGAAGCTTCCCTATTTCGAATATGATGCGAGGGGAGTTAACTGTTTTTAATAACACAAACGTGAATATATATTTTTTTTTATAAATTCTTCTTGTAGAAGGATTTCTGTAATTACGTTTTTCTTCTTCGTATTAATTTTATAAATATAATAATATATACGATGATGCCTGTATCGATACCAAACTTGGCACTTCGAACTTTTTTTCTATCCTTTCGTGTAAAACGTGCATCAAAGACAAAAATAAAAATAATAAAAGTAAGTTCGAATAATATCTGAATTCTCTCTTCGTATTTACGATCAGAAGCTTTCGAGCTTCCTTCTATCATCACAAGTGAGGATAGACAATTGAAAGATTCCATTACATCGAAAACTATACTAATTACAGATTCAGCCAATATCTATACGATTCTAAGAAGGGAAAAAACAAATTTTTTAAACGATGTTACAATTTAACAATCGTTTCAAGAAATTGGTGCTAACTTCTGATATTTCAAAATTAAATATATATAAAGTATCCTATATAAAATTAAACAAAAGTATTTGAAAAAAAAAAAAAAAAGGAAAAGAGAATTGATAAAAGATTTCATCCTTCAACCTGGTTAAATGTTCCACAAAAGAAATTCCAACAATGGGTTATTCCATCGTTGATAGAGCAAACGAAAGCTCGGTTATTAAACCAAGTTACGCCCGTGTCCGAGAACAATGGGTCACACTTGTTTTAAGGTGAACGGCCATTTCTACACCACCACCGCGGCGTTTAAGTCGTGATACACCCTCCGTGTAATTTTTGCCCAATTACCGTCCAACAATAGGGGCCGGAAAGCGTCTATTATAAAAACCTCGTATATCACCCCGATCTCGGCCGTATTTCGCTCGGTTGCGGAACGTCCGCGATGCAACCGGTTCGTAAAGCCACGAGCGCACCGGTTAATAGCTGATATAAGGGAGTGCTCGTAAAAAAAAAATCTTATTATCCGACTCTCTTCCGCCTTTGCGAAACAATTAGTTAGCGTTGCTACCGGCCTTTATATATCGGATTTTTAATTTAGTTATACGCGCTATATCCCTTTATTTTTTAAAAGTGGGTTAAAAAATACGTACGACTTTTTTTTTTTTAATTATTACGAAAGTTGAATTCTATTCGAGAATAGAGTAGAATCCTTCTTA